CTTCTCCTCCTCCTCCTCCTCCTCCTCCTCCTCCTCCTCCTCCTCCTCCTCCTCCTCCTCCTCCTCCTCCTCCTCCTCTTCCTCCTCTTCGCTTCACAACTGCTTCATGCTCATCATCCATCGGACGTCTTGGAGCAAGTCAAAACTACCCCCACCCCCCCATAACCCTCACCTCCCACCCACCCCCACCGGTGCCTCAACTGCCGGGAGTCTCATCACAGTCACCGGCCCGGACCACAACCCCATCACCCACACCACCCCACCCATTGATCGACATCACCCTCTATTTTACCATGATCAGGAAGAACATTTGTAGGTAGGGGTACTAGAAAGTAGGGGTGAAGAGAAGGTGGGGTGCAATCGATGAGTAAAATTTGATTTCTGAAGTCGCTTCTCCTTACGAAGGAGAGGAAGGACCAGGACCAGGACAAGGAGGAGAAGAAGGACAAGGAGGAGAAGAAGGAGAAGGAGGAGAAGGACAAGGACAAGGACAAGGTGCAGCTATTCAACATGCGTGAGCTTGTGTCGCTTGTAGCTCTGGTCTTGCTGCTCTCCGCAAGTCCCGACTGCTGCGATGCTCTCCGGGCCCTGAGGCTGAGAGGAGGTTCAGACGCTATGCTGGATGAGAGACTGAGCTCGATGAAGCTGTCGGAACTTCAGAAGGAGCTGCGAGCGAAGGGCCTTAGCACGAAAGGCCTCAAGGCTGAACTCATCAAGCGCCTCCAGGACTCCATGCACGAGCCTTCAAAGGATGTTGGAATAAAGAGAAACGCACCGGATGATCCCGGGGAGGGAAACATGCAGGAGGAAGACACTGAAGGAGAGCTCCCGATGAAGCAACCGCGAACTGACCGACCTTGCGTGCAGCATTCTGACGAGCATCAGTCTACAGGGACGGGAGAAGAGCCTTTGATCAAGGTGCGGCAGACCAACCAGGCAAAAATAGTGATCGAACGAGAGGGAGACGATGGTGTAGTGAAGGTGATCAACGGGTATGACTTGAAGGATCGATGTAGAGCCGCAGGCTTCAAGTTCGACGCGGCCGAGCGTGCTTGGGTCATCCCCATCTTCGCACTGCTGCATGGGATGGGGGTGTCGAGCTTGGATCAGATTGAGCACGACGACATCATGGACTACCTGCAGAGGATCGAGGTCACTGAAGCTCTGGCTTCGCAGCCGAAAGAACAAGAAGAGCTTGAGGCTGAGGTGGACGGGGACATGGTTTCTCTCAAGGGCAACACGTATGCTTGGAAAGACAAGATCCGGTCTGCAGGCTTCAGGTGGGACTCGACGCGCTCCTGCTGGCGAAGGCCTCTCGATCAAGTCCTGCTCTGGCTCAAAAGCGTGAGGACCGGGGGCGCTGACGAAGAGGGAGATGTAGAGGAACACGTCATTCGAGCAATCACTGAAATTAGCCAAGAGGAGCTCGCAAGAGCAAGCCCAGCACAAGTCGAGCAGCTTCAACCATACCTGAAAGTCGACAAGGAAGAGGTTGAGAGTTTTAATGGCTCGCCTCTTGTCCTCACAATCTCTTGCAGGTTCGCATCTACAACTCCTACAACCTCAAAGATCACCTGCGGCAGCTGGGCTTTCGCTTCAACGTGCAGGAAAAGTGCTGGAGCTCGCGGCTAGAGGACGTCAAGCGGCTGCTGCCTGATGAAGACCTGACGTTGGACGCGATCATGGGCGTCATGCCGGATGACAAGCAGCTCGTGCCGCAGGCTCCCTTCCTGTCCATCAACGGCACCGACGTTGAAGTCCACAACTCCTACTCCATGAAAGACTCGCTGCGCTCCATCGGGTTTCGATTCGATGCGGCGCGAGCTTGCTGGATCAGACCTGTAGAGGAAGTCCTGACCCTGCTCGAGCTGCCAGACTCCTCCAGCATCACCCTCGAGTTGCTCACGGAAACCAGCAAGAGAGCAGGTGCGACCCTCCTCTCCTCCTCTCCTCCTCCTCGCTCTCCTCCTCCTCTCCTCCTCCTCGCTCCTCCTGCTCCTCTCCTCCTCCTCGCTCTCCTCCTGCTCCTCTCTCTGCTCTTCTCTCATCCACTCATACAGTCGAAGGCGAGATCGCGCAGGAGAAACTTGCTCCACATAAATCGGCAGCTCCCTCGCTCAAGGTGGAGGGCGACGAGCTCGCGGTGTACAACTGCTACGAGGTGAGAGGAGGAGGAAGGGGAGGAAGTTGCCTGACTTGACCGTCAGATCCGCGAGAAACTTCGAGCCGCTGGCTTCCGGTGGAACTCCGAAGGTGCCAAGTGGACGAGAAACTTGCAGGATGCGATGTATGCCTTGGGTATTGACGGTACGATGAGAGCGGCGCGAGGGCAACAAACTGACGGAGAGGATCAGACGCATCTGATCTGACTGTGGAGAAACTCCTCTCCTTGGAAGCGACCGGAGAGGGTCGGGAGCAAGGGAAGGAGAAGGCTTCTCCCCACCTCTCTGTGGTCGACGGGGAGGTGCTCGTGTTCAACTCGTATGAGGTCTCCCGCGCTCCTCTGCTGCCTCCCAGTCAAGGTCTCCTGCAGGTGAAAGACAAGCTCCGCGCCATCGGCTTCCGCTGGGACTCAAGTCGAGGCGTGTGGTCGAGGCCTACGGTGGACACGATGAGCTTGCTGGGGGTGACGGAGGAGGAAGCGATCTCCCTAGACAAGCTGCTCGCTGTCGACCCGCTCAGTCAGCAGGCTGAGCAAGCGCAGCCGACGGTTGAGGTTGTGAACGAGGAAGTGCTGGTGCTCAACTCTTACTCGGCAAAAGAGGAGCTCAAGTCCCTTGAGTTCCACTTCGACAGGTAACCCCCAGCCATCATCGCCCGCCTCCTCTTCTTCCCCTCCGCTGCTTCGCATCCACATCCCGGTTGCTCCGCGAGCTCCGGGTTTCTGCTGCTGCTTCCTCTCTCCCCTTGCTGTAAACTTGTTGAGAGTTGACTCACGGGCAGTGAGCGGCGGGCGTGGGTGAAGAGCGTGGTGGAGGTGAAGCAGATGCTCGGGCTGGAGGACCAGATGGACATTGACATGAACAAGCTGCTCGCACACGCAGAAAAATTGCGAAGTCAGGCCAAGGAGGGCGAGCAGCTCGAGGAGGGAGAACATGCCCAGGAGCAGGAGCAGATGGAGGAGGGGGAGGGGGGTGGAGGGGCTAAGCCAGCGGATCGCTCTCCTTCACCTGACGTGGTCGATCACACGCCTGGTCCTCTTCCTCCTCTGCTGACAGACAGCTACTGACCCAACGCAGATCTGCTGTCGAGCATGGGGCAGAGCCTGCAAGGCTGGTCAAGTAAGTAGAGCCTCCCTCCCCATCCCTCCTCCCTCTTCTGTTCCTCCTGCCCTTCCCACCCCCTCTACCTCCTTGACCCCCTCCCTCCGTCCCTCCCATATGACAGAGATGGCAGAGACGTCAGAGAAGGCGTAGATGATGCATGGAGGGAGAGTTGAGGAGAGCTTTTCCGCATCGCTCGAGGGATAAGCATGTTATCATATGATACAAGTAAAGAATGTGTTAGAGGGAAAGGTCTCCCCTTGTTCGAGTTTCAAATACTTGTCACTTTGTTAACCCCTCCACTGCTTGTTAGTGATGCCCAATCATAGATTGTCTGTGTTGTCTCTTCGTCGCTTGCTCGTCTTTTAGTCTCCGCGGCCTCCCGTTGGCTGTTCAGTGAGAGGTAAACTGTAAACGTTGCCGCGCATTTGCAAGCAGCACTGCTGGCAACCAGACCCAACTCAGACGATCATGCCTGCACTGCCAGCCCGGCACGCGGGAAGCCGCGTAGAAAAGCAGGGAGGGGCAAGCAACAAGCACCGTGATACCGGCCATCACTGTGACGTCTGATGCCTCCGGAGAGCTCGACGCCACTGGACTCACGGATTTACTGGCAGAAGGTAAAAAGTGCCTCAAGCAAAACAAAGCAGGATCAAGCTAAACCTCCTGGCACACAGCGCACAGCGAGAAGCTGCACAATCACACACAAAACACAAGCCCGAAAGA